AGTAGTAGTAGTAGTAGTAGTAGTAGTAGTAGTAGTAGTAGTAGTAGATACCAAATCCAAATATATACTGCTACACCTCAATAACACGTAAACATTTTGAATTCACAACAGATTCCAAATCTAAGAACATCTTCCTGGTCTCCCGCTTTCATCTGCGTTTTGTTGCAAAGAACAGATTGTTGCTTTTGTTCCCACAGCCTCGATGGACCGTACCGACCCCTCCGGTGGCGACCGTTGGAACTCGGTGGCGCACCGAGGTGGTGATGCGGATGAAGGACGGTCGGGCGAAAGGGAGGCGAACTGGTGGTACCGGGCATTTCATTGGAGGTGGTGGCCCTGGGAGAAGGACAGGTGAGTAGTTTGGGGAGACCCCTTCGACGTTTCCGGGGGATGGTGATCTTTTTTGGGAACCTTTCTGAGAAGATCCGATGTGGTCAGGTTTTGGACGTGCATTTCTCCAGGTCGACTCACCTTCACTGCGATGAATTCTTCTCCAAAGTGGTCCCATGCCACCACTGCAGAAAGCCCCAAACAGTCCCATGTGAGGGTCAAAATCAGCTTCGGAGCCTGGTAGGTTGAGCTGGTCCCAAGTTGCCACCCGAACTGCCAAAAGGTGGCTCCTCTGGTCCTCTGGCCCCACGATCTACCGGTTCCAGGAGGCAAGCCGCGTTGGCAGTCATTGGCCGACGAGGTCTGGCAGCAGCTGGTGGATGGCGAGGTGCGGGACGGTTCGCTGGGATGGTTTTGGGATGTGTCGGTGGAGGAGTGCTCATGATATGTCGTGATGGAAGGGGTTTAGTCTTCAAAATCACCTCAAGAAGATTTGAAGAACTCATGATGATCCATCAATGATTCATTCATTTGGGGGCCAAACATCCTGGAGAGAGACACCCCCAGAGCTCAGCTCGTGTCAGTGCTCAGCTCGAACGTTTGGCCATCGGGTTCCCGCACGAGGCGGACGAGGTCACTCGGGGTCGCTCGATTGCTGCAGCGCTGCAGCCTTTCAAGGAGGCGGGACGGTCTACGACCGCACCAGGCGGTCGTCTCGGGTGGGTATACCGGGACCCAGACCATCCATGGGACTGGCATATTTGCCTACATTGACACCTGAAACAGCCTCAATGTAGGCAAATATGCCATGGATGGTCTGGTATACCCATCAGTTTCTTTTTTTTGGGGAGGTGAACGGGAGTGCCGTGAACGGGAGGGGCATTCGCGGGTGAAATAGCGTGTTTGAGCTGATTCCGAGATGGGGATTCCTGCTTGGTACAAGCCCTGGGGCTGTTTGGGGGAGTGCCAAAGTTGGAGTGCCAAAGTTGACTTCTTTTGACCCTTTTGGATAGTTGGGTGTTCCTTCTTTTGGGTTGGATGGCATACTGGCATACCTGTGTCCAATCAGTCGTAGATCCCTCAGGCATGCCAAGTTCCTTTCCGTGCGCACACAAATAAACGTCAAGAAAAGAAATACTGTGAACATTAAGACAAGCACGTGTCGCAAAAACGTTTTTCCTCCCTCAGCTTCATATTAGTTCATCAGGTGAGCGACTATAAGTGCAATACCCCCCGAAAAAGTAAGACAAACTCACACAATTCCCTCCCTTTCAGGTTTAACATTTCCCAAACACACACACAATTCCCCAAACCAAATATACGTAGTTTTGTTACTAGTAGCGATGCACTTGTTACTACTAGCGTGGCACTTGTTCCTAGTAGCTTCGTTCCAAAGAGGTCCCTTCCTGCTAGAAATCTCAGCACAACCGGCCCAGTGGCTGGCACGGGGCGCCAAGCGGCAACGGGTGACGCCCCGCGCCGCGCGGGACGCGGCGCCGGCAGCTGCACCAGTGGCTCGGTTTTGATGGTTGGATGGGGGTGAGTGGATGGGCTGGAGGCAGAGGTGGTCTTGGTACAGGAGAGGTGCAAGTTTTCTGTCAACGGTGGTGAGGGTGGGGTTGTCAGATTAGGTGCTCACCGCTATCCCTTCAGCTACCTCAGCCAAGGGGCTGCTAGATCTTCAAAGCAAGGTCAAGACCCAGACTGATCTCCTCCAAGAGGGGATCAGGGGTCACGCCCTGGCAGCATATTAAACTGTGGGTGATTTCAGGAAAAAAAACAAAGACCAGCATCATCCACCATCTACTGGCTCGTGTGTTTTGCTCGGAAAGATCTCTCTCTCCCTCGCCCACTCTCTCTCTCTCTCTTTGTCTCTGTCTCTCTGTCTCTCTGTCTCTCTGTCTCTCTCTTGCTTCGGATGAGAAGCCATCTCAGGGGAGTGAGGGTGAGCATGGTGAGCATCGGGTGTGTGTTCACCGAACATGTCGTGCTTTCGAGGCCTCCGGCCAATGTTCTGTGCCAAGCAGCAAGAGTTGGGGCACCTGAGAGGAAACGTCGTGCCAGAAAGTGAAGAAACCGATCTGCTCTGTGTTTTTTGGAGCTGGAATATTGAGGAATCATGCATCATGAGGAATGCCTGCTCCGGGAGGGGGGACCACGTTCCCTGATGGTTGGAGTCTCCAAGCTTCTGGGAGTGCCTCTCAAAACGTCCTCCTCCTTGGCCCTGCTCCACCACCACCATCGACTGCCCCGACTTGGTTTGGCTCGAGCAAGTCGCCATGAGCACGGTGTACTTGGAACATCGCGATGCCCATCATCTGCCCGGTGCCGGCTCGCCAGAGGAGGTGAAAGTGGCACTGAAGAAGGCAGCTGAGGCGATCTTGCGATGTGATGCTTTGCTCTTCACGGCCGGTGCAGGGATGCTTGGACAACAAACATCCCGGAGTTGGGCATCCACATTGAAGAACCTAGGTTACCCATGTTCAGATTGAAGCATAGAATCAGTTTGCAGGGTCTCCTACCCGGTTCTAGAGGAAAGTAGCCTTCCAAAGACTTCCAAAGTATCATTTTCCAGCCAGAGTGTATCCGTGCGAATCCGGGTTCACTGTTTACCTTATTCATGCTTTGAGTCTGGATCCCATCTATTTAATTTCCATTCATATCTTATAGTCCCTTCTAACTTCAACTCTCTTCTTTCCATCCATACAGCTCATGCCATCCGTTTTACTTGTCCAACCACTTGTCAGACTCATCCCGTCGAAGTCTCCGAAGTCTCCGAACTCGTCGCCGTTCGTCGCCCAGGATGGGCGTGGACAGCGGGCTGCCCGACTTCCGGGGCTCCACGGGACTCTTCAAGGACCGCGAGGTGGCCATGAGCTACGAGGAGAGCGAAAGAACGCCTCGCCGACGAAACGAGATGCGACGCCGTTTTCGCGGCCCAACACGCAAGCTTCGTGGAAGCACGCAGTTGGTCCGAAGCACGCGGCGAAAACGCGTTGGTTGGTTTTATTTTTTTAAACATCTTTTTGTTAAGGAGTTCAACGGGATAAACATGGGACACTTTCCTCACCCTTTTCATTCTGTAGTCACTGAGTGCAGATGTTGTTGGAGGGAGAGAGAGAAGGGGGGGGGTAGACTATGAATTGACCCACCTTCGGATTCTTCTGCAGCTCCGACGAGGAGATGAGTGACGACAAGTGGTTCACGGAGGACCCCTTGTTCGCCTGGGGCATCAACTACACGCAGCTGTCCATGTATCGTCGCAGTCCGCCCCACGCGGGATATGAAGTGCTACTGAAGTGGGCCAAGACCTTGGGCAAACCCTACTTCGTCTCCTGGAGTGTGCCCAGCACAAGGTGTTTTGCAGATGAGGTGTTTTTTCCATTTCATATGCCACAAGGTTCCGCCACCTGCGCCCTGGTTTGTAGTCCTTGACCATCCGAACAGGAAGACATTCCCGATTTCGGGGTCGTTGCACCGTCCACCTCGACGTTCCGAAGACGTCCGTTCAGAGATGTTTTCTTGGATGGCAAGGCCACCTTCACGTTCCGAAGACTGCTTAACCAGAGCTTCTCTTCTCTGGCACTCTTCAACTACCTCTCTTTGTTGCCTCTTTCGTTGCTCGGAAGGGTCTTTGGACCCCCCTTCTCCACCCCTTTGGCGGCCCAACCGGCGGAGGTTTGGACGTCCAACATCGACGGGATGTTCGAACGAGCGGGATTCCCGGGCGACCGGGTGGTGGCGTGCCACGGCGACCTACACCACCTTCAATGTACCAAGGACAGAAGAACCTGCAAAGGCGAGAATGGGTTCAGGGTGCTGGTTTGAGGGGGTAGTGGCGAATGCTGACTGTTGAAATCAAACTTGAGATGTATATAGAGGAACCATCCTGGTCAGGGTCATCCAGTCAACATCGGCATTTTGTCAATCTTCAAAGCAGCTTTCTTCTAACCTTGGGGGCAGTGGCCGTCTTGTGCAAACCTGAAGGCTTGGAAGAGGATGGTGCGGATGAAGTGCCTTGGTGCTGTAAACTCTCTCTCTCTCTCTCGCTTGCTCGCTCCCTTCAGTGATGCCGGGCCGGTTGAGGGGGGAATTTCAACGAATCGGCCTAGCGCCACCGAGTGGTGCAAAGCAACGCTTCTTTTGACTCTTGACTCTGGATGCGAACCCTCAGACCACCAACGCTGAACTCTTTTGACAGACCCCGAGCAGGTTGAGAAGAACGACATCCCTTTATGACCTGGCACAAACTTGGGTTTTCCACGTTCAAGTGGATCTTTCCGAGTGTCACAGGTGTTGATTTGATGTCGATCTGATTCCAATGGAGCACGACGGACACGGCGATTCTGATGATTTTGCCGAAGGAGGTGGTCACTTTGGAAACCCAAAGAACATCGGATGGTCAAAAAGAATCAGAGTGTCAAACATGTCAAGAGGTCAAAAGCAGTCTTTCCTTGTGAAGGGTGTGTTCAAGGTATACTACATACAGGGGAACCCAGGTTGTACCGAACATGAACAGACTACCAGACTATCAGGGAGTCAGCTTTCCAAGGGTTCAGTGTTCCAGCTTTTGACAAACAACCATCTTGCGTCCATGGCGAGTCCTCCCATTGGTCAGGGACACAAAAGAAGGACTGACACATCTATATATATATAGATGAAGAAAGACCTAAAAAGACTGATCGTTTTTTTGTCCTTCCACACCCGAACATCTTCTCGTCCCCCCCGTTTCTCCGAGACGGTGACGCCGAGGTCTGGTCCTCGGAGGGGATCCCAGACGACTTGGACGCGGAGGTGGATCCCAAGGCCTTGCGGTTTCAGCCGCTTGGGGGCTTTTTGGAAGAAGGTGTTCTATTTCTCTTTGTATTTTTAAGGTGTTCGTTCATTTTTTGGAAGAACACGACGCACATCGTATTTTGGGAACTTGGGTCGTTCCCAGACTGTTTGGGAGCCTTGGAGGTTCATGAGTAGCAGGACCCTCCACTTATTTAATGGGTCTCCAGCCAGAACACCCATTGGACGTTCCACAGGCTTGTCCGGCTTGGTATTTGCCAGTGTTGAGGCCTGACAGCCTGGAGCGCGAGTGTTTCCTCTGCCCACGATGTCGACGATTAGCGAGGCCCAACGTGTGGTTCTGCCATGACAAGAACTACAATGTCTCCAGAGCCAGCTGGGAATTGATTGAGGTGAAGTGTTTTGCTCTATTGCCCAAAGTATATTACGTATAATGTAGTATATTACTGTATACAGTATATATATACATACATATATGACACATACATATATATATATAGAAACCTCAATATATTACTGTAATTATATAGATAGAAACCATGCTATGGCAAGCCCCAGAATCAGAACTCAAACAGGATTCGCTTCTGAGATCACGGTGGTGGACTTTTCGGCCCAGCTGAGGCCACAATCAAGTGTGGCAATGCTTACAATCAATGGCTCTCAGAGTTGCAGGAGCGCAAGGCCAGAACTCTGGGAGTTGGCTCCGGCTTAATGGTTGGGGGCCCACACTACCCCGGGAACAAACGAGGCTTTAACACGATAGTCACGACCAAACAACTCATTTGCTTCTTCTCAGGCACACAAGAAAGGTTGTAGTTCTTCCGGACTTGTTTCCAATGATTGGCGATGGAAAGTAATGTTCTTGCGCGCGGTCGCTGGCTGCTTCACTGCTGCAACCGCAACACCACGAGGCTGCAACCCATGGCAGAACCCCTACCCACCAGCCCACCCCGTGGACGAATGACTTGGCAGTTGGTGCTTGACGGCGAATTGCGTCTCACGAGTCTCACCCGGGGGGCGACGCACTGCCGCTGAGATCCTACTGTGGTCGGACGAGGTCGCGCATTCAAAGCAGGCTTTATCTTGATGCAACAAATGCTCTCAGCACTGATGGGGTTGGCTGAGTGCCCAGGATGGTTTTTCGTTGCAATTGGAGACGGAGCCATTCTGCAGTCTGGTGAGTCCTCAGACTCTTAGACACCCCTCGAATTTGGAGAAGGTACTCCCCTACCCACAAGGGTTCCATTTTTCAGGGACATATTAACACCAATAAGACTTGATAAGACCCATATCTGGGAGATCAGAGCCACCAAGTGGACCTTAGATTCCAGTGGTCCACTTCATGGGTTGACGGAGGGATGCGTGTGGAGGGATGTTGATCTCCGATGAACCACTCGGACACCCAGCCCTGCGCCAGGCTGCATTGGTGGTGGTCGAATGTGGAGGAGGCTTAGCCATCCCCAGCGTGCGGGTTCAAAGCGAAGACGCCGTTGATGGGAGCGGACCTGGCTCGCTGCTGGTACGGCTGAACCCAGTGCATTGCAAGGTGCCGGAGAAGGGAGTGGGACTTCCGTTAGGGAGTATGGAAGGGCTACAGCGGATTGATAAAGAGTTGGAAGCTTTGAAGAAGGATGGAACTGGTGCCAGACACAAGAAGACTTCAGTGAAGAAATGATTTCGTCCGACCAGTCGATTGATGTCTGGCAAAGCGACTGGCCGACTGACTTGTGGCCGAGTGGCCGAGTGGCGAGGGGCGAGGGACGCTGACTTGCGGCGCCGTGGGTCAAAAGCAAACTCTCTCAGTTCAGCCGGAAGAACGCCTTTTTCAATCGTTCCAGAAGAGCATGTGATGATTTCAAGCATGCTGTGTCTGGGATGCTGTTTTTAGGGCCGAACTCTGGACACATCTGGAGTGTCCCGGAACCTTGGAACTCTGAAGACCCAATCTGGGAAGCATTTTGGAGGTGTCTTATGCCTGTGTCAAGCTCAATGTCTCAGAGTGTCTTGGTTCAGAGTGTCCCAAGTCCAAATGCCCTTTGCTACTAGCTTCTTGTTCCTAGTAGTCATGCCGCTACTGGTAGCGATGCCCTGGTTACTAGCCAGCCCTTTTTGGGGAGTTCAACCTCCGGGAACCGGCAGTTGGACCGCCCAACGCGCAGCCCAAAGAGGCTGGGCTCCCACGTGCTCCTCGGTGCGTCCGTGGGTCGATGCGTCGGGTGGGCCAGGCATTGAAACACGGGATCCAGCAATCCCGTCGCGGTTCTGTAGGAGGCAGTTAGTATATGTTAGTATTGTCTTTGCATGTCAAGGCATGACAGGGAGCATGAACAGCTACTCCCACGATTTTCCTTTCATTGTCCATGACAGTTTCACCACTCACTTCACGCGCATTATATCCGATTGATCTTCACCCAGGTGGTCACCCACCAGTGCGCGAACCTCAGAGCTTTAGACCGAGAAGTTTGTTTTTCGTTCATCTCCCGAAACAGAGCGCTGGTTGGAACTTCCAGTCCGGTTTCTCTCTGCTCCAGTCCGGTTTCTGAATGCGCATCTACATCAGTCTTGATACCTTGCTGTAGAAATCATCCGCAGAATCACACCAGTGATTGAGATCCAGATGAAGAAGCGTCCACCACCAAACATGGAGGTTCTCACTGTTTTTATATACCAAGTGAACTGCATTTTTGGGAGCTCACTACCTAGGCCCTCGGCAGCCCCGCGGAGCCAAAGCAAAGGCGCTGTTCACGCGGCCAATGCTCGGGTGTCGGGGCCCTGGAGCGTTGGAGGCCTCACAACAGACGTCTAGAATCTAAGAAGGTCCTTTTTTTTTGGAAGAAAGCTGGTGCAGTTCCAGTGGTTGGGTCGGAGTTTGTTGGCTCATGGTGAAACATGCTGTCCTGAGGAAGCAAGCAGACTTGGCAAAGGCACACCAATTCAGCCTATTCAGGAAATCCATCAGAGTGAAGGGATACAACAAGGCATTCAAATGCCACACAGCAAAGACCAAGGTCCGGTACAAGTATTTATTTTTTTTTGATGTTAATCTTGAGGACATATTTTAAAATGATTCCTTCCACAAGAGAGAGAGAGAGAGAGAGAGAGAGCGAGCGAGAGCTGCAGCATTTGATTGCTCAATATGTTCTTGACAGCCACAGTGGTTGATTGGTCAACACTTATATCATTGTGATTGAATCAGACATGTTTGCATATCTTCAGGGTTTTGGTGTGATTGGTGTCATCCTCACTTGAATCAGACTCCCGGAAATCGGCTTCGCGGACGCTGGTAATCTCAGCATTCCCGAAGAAGAGCTGTTACACAAGCTGCAGGACAGGTGGATTCTCTGCACCTTTCAACTTAGTATAGTTGGATCATCTCAAGTAGGCACAGACAGGAATTGACAGCAAACACGCCATCTTCCAAAAGAAGCCAACAGAATCGCCCACAGACTTTCAGATGAAGCACATGAGCGCCAAGCTCGGACTCGCCGTGGCAAAGTGCCCGGTGCACGGACCTTGTTGGCTCCCCTCCTCCGTGGCCCCTGTGAGACGCGTTTGTGCTGTGGGGTGGTGCTGCTGTTGGTGAGGTGCACTCCCGATGGGATGGGCAAGTGGCAAACCATGTAAGTCGAAAGCTTCCACAAACCCATGCAATGAAGGGAATCTTGGCACTTCTAGTTGCACTGACTATAGAGTATAGGCTATTTGGAGCCGGTCTATGTTACCCTTTCGGAGCCGCGGTGGCGCCAGGCGGCCCCTTCACTGCGCCCGGTCGTGTCGCGCGCGGCGCCGCGAGCTTGCGGCCCTCCTGGCGGGGTCGGGGTCTGCACGGTGTCGGGCAGCGGAGTTCGGAGAGCTGGAGCCTTGGCTGAAGTCTTCGACTCGGATGGCATCTTTCACCTGAAAAGACCCGACTTGATGACCTGGTGCAGTTTTTTAGTAAAATTTAGTGATCCTGGAATCCAGGGTAATAGATCAAACATCCAATCAGAACATTTGCTTCGCTTCTTTCTTGTGCACAGAATTTGCATAAGCGATCATTGAATCCCCCACTTGATAACAAGGAAACACCGACAAACACATGAAAGAAAGAAGTCACCTGTAAACAAACCTACAGAAGGGTGTTCAAGCTGCTCTTACGAAGCCTCCATCACCTACGTGTTTGCTTTCTTTTACAGTAATCGCCCTCACGTACGCTTCTCCTCGTTCCAGGTGAAGGTCACTGATCCCGAGACCTACTCCGCTTTGCTCTACCGCCCAGTGGGCTCAACAGAGCCGCGTCCCTTGTTGTTGGTGCTCCCGGGAGCGGGCAAAAACGACCAGGCGCCCATCGCCAGCGGTGTTCGGTGCGAACGATGAACGATGTAGAAGGCTGTGAGAACTGCTTCCGTATGGGAGAACCTGCTTTCGTGTCCATATGGTGTAGAACATGCACTGATCTGACGAACCCACGTGCCAGTTTGGAGACTCCTCCCGGGCCGCAGCCAATTTTTGGGCATTTTCGCAGAGCCAAAGAGGTGCAAGACCCAAAAGAAGAGCCACCAGGTATCGGATACCTTTCTTGCACCATCCACTGGCATTTCTGAACTTCTGACGATCTGTCCGTAAAGCCTCTCGTTTTCCTGGCGACTCGATCACTGAAGACTCTCCAGGATGCTTGGGACCTCGCGAACGTGCAGGGGGAGCACGGCGGCTTGGCGCCGAGCCTTTTGGCGCAGCGCACGGCACCTGAGGAGCTGGCGCAGAACTTCTGCGTGGTGGTGCCGAGACTCAAGGGGCACTGTCCCACAAAAGGATGTGAACACGAAATACATACTGTACCGGATATACAGTACAAAAGCATGCAATTACCAAAAAACACAAGATATATCCGCTGGCCCCAAGTGATGTGTGAATGCAGACGGCCGCCATGGCCAGTGCGGCACTTTGGATCTCCTTTTTTGACTACTAGTACCAAGAAGCTACTAGTAACCAAGGGCATCGCTACTATTAACAAGAAGCTACTAGTAGCTCCTGGCATTACTACTAGGCACAAGATGCTAGTAGGTTGGAGGCCATCGCTACCAGTTCTCTTCCCTTGAATAGTGGACCTCTTCGCCGTTCCTTTTCCCGTTCTTCATTCAACGTGGGGCGGCGACCGAAACGCCAAAATGCCGAAAAACACGGGAGAGGCACCCTATGCGGCTGGAAAGCGGAGCTTCTATGAAGAGCCCCGGAAGAAGATCTTGGCCTTCTTGGCCCCTTGGAAGAAGATCTTGGTCCTCCTCGGAAGAAGATCCGGGGCCTTCCGGCTGCGCCAGCGGGACAGATGTTGAAACAGCCGTTCCCCTTTTCAGACTCTTGGCTCAGCCTTCCCAAAGCGTTTCTTGTGTTTTGACTGTTTGATCTTTTTGGGGCGGACGGCGACGTCTGAGTAGTAGAGTTGGCCCCTTCCGACTTCACTCGTCTCAGCCTCCATCACCCGCGGACGGACGTGGGGGACGGACGTGCGAGGACTGGCTGTGCCGCCAGGGCGACGGCTCGGGTGGCTCGGGCGCGGCCTCTTCGGTGCAGATCGATCGAGGGCGGCTCTTCTTGTTTGGCTTCAGCGATGGCGCCACAGAGGTGATGGAACTTGCCAGTACCAGGTGGGGCGCAGTCGGGGCGGTCGAAGTCGGGACTTACTTCGGTGAGGGAGGGGTTGGCCAGGCACAGGAAGGGGTCGTGGGATGCAATCGACTGGCCCCCAACACTTAGGAGATCGGAACCTCATTGTATCTCATTGCACAACAGACAGAGGATCTATGAACATCTTAAAAAAGATAACAGAGAAGATAATCCTGTAAATATGTTTTTGACCACTCACACTCACATCGATCGGGGCTGTTTCATCCATCCACTTAGTGACGGCTGATCGCCGCTCACCACCCGTTGCCTCACCGGTTGCTGCGGTCGCCCCGTTGTTGGCTCTAGGCGCTTTGCGGGTGGCGTGGTGTGCGCGTATGGCTTCACGGGGGATCTGCCCGCCCTGGCGTGTGAGAGGCGTGGATGAAAAAGTGGTGAACAGGTGGTGGGCTGGGTGATTATTTGAAAGAATCGTCGTCGAGTATCCTCCAGTTGCCTTCCATTATCATCATCTCTTTGGGCTCTCCATTGTCATAAAACTAGATTAGTGTAATAGATGATACAGTTAAATGGTTAGCACAATCTTGTCTCATTTCTCGACCGCCCCTCTGACCTGCCGTGCCATGAACGGTGCCGTCCTGACGACTGCCCGGCGCGTTGGTCGGGCTTGGGCGCGGCACCTTGGTCCGAGCGGCCAAACGCGGAAGGTTGAAGAACTTCCCTGTTTGGGTCTTCCACTGCGCGGACGACGTGATTTTCCCGGTCTCCTGCAGCGACAAGCTGGTGAAGCGGCTGCGGGAGGTGAACTCTCGACGCGCGGAGGTGAAGCGGTGGCGGAGGTGGGGTGGAGGGTTGGATCCAAAAAGCATCAAAAACGCCTTGGAGGTTGATCACCTCTGTGGGAGGTTGATGGATTTAACACCGCAGTATGTTCCAAAACCCAAAAGTATTGTTTACAAGGAACTACAAGGATATGGTCTTGTTTCGGATGACTCGAGTCATATGAGGACACTGGGCGGTGCAGGAGGTCGCATCGGATCAAGCTTCTGCTTGGCCGTACGACAGAAACCTGTTTGCTTCTGAGAATGGAACCCTTGCCGCAGACGGGGGTTTTCTTTGCAGAATACCTCCCTATCCGCTTTGTTGGGTCCGGGGCTTGTCTCTTCTTTTCTTCAGGCCCCCCCCAATCTATTGGACGGTTGGGATTTCCTCGGAAATCCCGCTTCCGCACGGTGCTCAACCCCAAGGAGATGTGGTGCGCTACACGCGCTATGACCGCGATCAAGAGGCCAGGGGTTGTGGTGGCAGTGCGAATTGAGTGTTTGGGAGCGAGCGAGTTCGCGAACTCGTCGCACGAGCCGCTCGGCGTTCGTTCGTCCTTAAATCGGCGGAGCCGATTTTACAAATCCAAACAGCGTCCGACACTTCGTGGACGGACCAGTTCGTGACGGATCAGAGCACACGTTTTGTTCCACTGTTTGGCATCCTTTTGCTCACAGGACGCTACGAGTACCGGGGCTCCTGGCCCTACGAGTACCGGAGCGATCGGACGCTACTACTCGTACCGGCACTCGTCCTTCCTTCCTTCCTTCCTTCCTTCCTTCCTTCCTTCCTTTTGAGCGCTGACACAGGGCTTCACCGGCTCGGTGCGGGGGCACAGCACGGGCATCACCGCATCGAAGAGTGCGGAGGTCTATCGCTGGCTGCTGTCCTTGCCACCCTTGGAGGCCGAAAGTCGTGGTTTCACCCCTCCCAAGAAACTGCCAAATCCAGTCCAACCGCTTCAATCCATGAGATCTTCAAACATGGACCGATGGACCGCCAACCAGTGGCTGTGAAGAAGCCTCGTGTTCGCTTTCGCTGAGGTCTGAGAGGTTCGCTGCGATCCCGCCGCGATCCTGGGATTGAGATGTGAGGCACGGACCGCACGAGGTTTGCGCCAGGCCCCGCTGGACACGTGGTTCGTTGTTTTCGTCTCCGCGAGACAAAGGGCTCTGCGGGATGGGACAAAGGGGTCTGCGCCAGTAAAGACTTGGAGTTGAACAAGAAGCGGTGCGTTCTGAGCAGCATTTGTTTGAGAAGCGGTCACTGCCGGTGCATGATCTATATCCACATTCATGTTCTGTGCTATGCCCCAGTGGTTCATATGGGCTTACAGCTTACACTTATTGTGGTGTGAAGAAAGTCAGATCTCACAAGGGCTCTTCCCAGACACACCACAGTACTTGCAAGAAGATCACTTTTTCTCAACAAGCACCCCCTTGTTCAAAAGGCCATCTTCGGTTGAAGCTGCTTCAGTGGCGATCTCGTGTTCTTTCATTTGGACCACTGCCGAGAACGGAGAACCTTCGCGGTCCCGAGTCGGAGACGTCTGAGGCCCTTGCACCAGCTGAGCCAAAATGCCGTGAACGCGCGAGACGCCGGAGTTCGCAAGGATGGTTTCGTCGTCGAAGGCGTTCGTAACGACGGGTGACGAAGCCGTTCCGTCGAACGGAGTCAAGGTTTGCATCGAAGAAATCCACACTGTTGATGGAAGAAGGAAGTGCTGCCAATGATGCCAAGAAAACCCGTGATTTTCACACTTCCAGTTGGGTGTGTGTGTTTGAACAATACATAAAAATAGAAACAACAAACCCATTTGTTTGCGACGCCTTTGCCTTCCCCTACCATCAGTAGTGGTTGGTGGGGGTTTCCCTCCTTCCAACAGACTTCCAGGATCGTTTTTCTTCGGGAAAAATAGGATGTGACGATCCCCTCTTCTCGGTGTAGCCTGGCCCGGTTTCACAGGAGGGCGGAGCGTCCTGTGGCCCGGGCGGACGCGTGGCCATCCATGCGGTGGGATGGGGGGGTGAGGGTGGTGCTGGAACACTGGTGGGGAACAGTGTCGACCCTTGCGTTTTCGACCCGACCGTTCTTTCTCGCTCCGACCCGAAGCGGGTTTTCTCGCGCTGGTCCGAAGCGATCCTTTCGTCGGAGCGGGCGGGATCCGGAGGTCTCCCGTGGTGAAAACATGTGAAAACACACCCCAAATTGGGGTAAAGAATCTATCTGAGCCGTGGAAAAGGACATCTTTTGGAAAAGAGGAGGATTACTCTAAGTATCTATTGTCTTGGAAAGCCATGAATTTGAAAGGACTAAGGACGCGGGATTTGATATAGCCAACAGGGATTTCAGATTCAGACGAGCTTTTCATGAAATCCACAGATTAGCCCAAGGTTTTCATATGTTCTGGTTTGAGCTAGTGGTATCACCCACCTCCATTTGGGCCGGTGCCCACCTCTCTGAACTCTTCCACGAAGCATTTGGCCATGGCCCCACGGTTTTACAACCATGTCGGAGTGGAAGATTCACTCTACTCAGCTGATTCAAACAGACCTGCCTGCGTCTTGATTGAACGAAAGCTGTTGGGAAACCTGGCAGCCATGCCCCGACCTTTTCAAAACCGACAGATATCGTACTCTTTTCAAAACCGACAAACGGCAAGGAGCACCAGAATGCTATCATGGTGGTTCCTATGCGGAATCATTGCTGATCCTGATTTTCAAGTGTTCAACTTTAAGCGCCGTCCCCTTCTTTCCGTCTGTCTTCGCTCTGAGAGCTAAAGGCGCTTTGCATGTCTCTCTGTGCACATGTACACCAAGTGATCACCAGCGATGTGACTGGGTCAAAACTTCAGCCCGAAGAGCAAAAGAAGATAGCATGTTGCAATGGCGTTGACATTGGGGTTTGCACTTTAGGCCTTTAGGCATGACTTAGGTATGACTTAGTGTTTCCCCTATAGGTTGACATCCCGAAAATCAAGGGATCTGTTCATGTTCGGTGTTCAAGCAAGGTGGATGGTTAACCAACCAAGCCTCCTGGTGATGAAGAGGTTTTGCAATCTAGAATGGGAGGTTTCATTCATCAACCATCTTCATTACAGGGGTGGTCATCCGTCAAGGCCCCATGTCATCTGTCGAGACCCTGTCATCCGTCAAGACTTCAGGTCTTGGGGTTTCGGTCTTCTTCGTTGCTTCCGCTGAAAAATAACAGGAGGCCTTGCAGAAGCAACGGACCAACCTACGGAAGGCACGCGCTCGGGCCACCGGGTCAGTTTCCGCTGCAGGGTTGAAGAGAGTGCCCCCCTGTCAAGGGCCGCGGTTCGGGCTTGTTCAGAAAAAGAACGGAAGGAAGGAAGGAAGGAAGGAAGGAAGTGCCTGCAGTCTCCGACCCCAAGCTAGCCCAAACAATACAACAACATGGGTCTCTTGACCCCTTGAGGTCTCCAAAGGAATTGCTTAGGGGTCCAAGGTTCGCTCGGCGAACGGTCGAGGGTCGAGGGTCATATAGCCTGGCTTTTCGGCTTGGCAGGCCAGCCGGCCTCCCGGCAAACACGTGGGGAAGGCGCCGGCGTCTTCTGGTTTGGGATGGACTAAGAGATGTGGAAACTGCAAGAAGCAGCTCCATGTTACATAAGCATGTCCTTTACCTTTCTCTCAAACATCATCATGTCAGTATTAAATACAGGAAATCTTTCGTGTGTCTTTGCTCATTTGTTCATCGACAGTGCAGTGAGGTTGAAAGAAGATTGGAAGTCGTGTCGGGTTGTGCCACGGTTGTGCTGTTGGGTTTGACACTGATGAACACCGCTCAGGAGAACATGGGTCCCAAGAACACCGCGACCGCAGGCGATGCAGCAGACGGAGAAGTTGACCTTCTTTTGTGCAATAACAAGGTATCCTCAAATAGTTCTGCATTTAGTATGCACTATTTCAATACATTGGGTCTGTCCCAGTACCTGTAACCGTCGGTAAACAATTATCACTACTTTAGAGAAAGGTCTTTACCAACCAGCATCATGGCCCTGGTATAAAGGGAAAACTACCCAACCACTTGCCAAGGGAATTCATGGACTTGTCAAGGTCTTTACTAACCATCATAATCCACTGTTACTGGTAATAGGATACTACCCAATCACTTGTCAAGGCATGGACTCTCTGAGTATTTGTGCCGAGCCGATCATGTTTCTTCGGACGCCGTTGCTGCGGACGCCGCGCTTGTCATTGCTCGGCCAGGCTTTGCTGCGGACAACCTGGTGCTCAAGCGTCTGAAGGAGAACGGTGAGCGTGGCGTTGTGAAATGAAGATACCCGTTTGACCAAAAAAGGGGACGAAACACATCGAACAAACTACCAATAGTATATAACATAAGAATAAGGTTCCAACATCTGGTTTGTTTGGAGCCGTTCCATCTTCTATCTACTTGAGGATGTCAATGTGGTGTGAGATACCAGCTCTTTGTTGAATGTTTTTTTAGTTCTTTTCCGGTGAGAGCTTGACAGTTCGGCACATTTTGGGGACAAGTCTCTGCTTGGTCTTAGAACTCCAACCCTGCACCACGCTGCACCACGCTGCACCACGCTGCTTCGCTTGGGACCGGAGTCCATCGCCCCTTGAACATCTTCCTTTGGCCGCAGGGGTGCTCACGACGTGCTCACGACGTGCTCACGACGTTCGGTTCGGCGGTTCGTCCGGTTCCCCGCCCCCGCCGTTCGGAGAACCTTGGGATCAGGTGGATGAGGATTTCATGCGCCTCAGCTCACGGGGGTGCGTCCAAGAGGTCCCGTCCAGTCCAGTGTGTCCAGTCCGTGGTTTTTCCCAAAGCGACACACCCACTGGCTGAGGAATACCCACTAGGCCCTAGGCCCCACAGATCCTGGGATTTGTATCAGTCTGAAGAGCCCACGGATCTGCAAATACCATGGGCTCTTTGCAAATCCCGTTGGTCATTTCGCTTCGTTTTTGCAGGACCGAAGAGCGATGCTGGATGACAAGGTGCCCGAAGTTCGCAGGTTTGTGAATGGGGGAGATATCGGGTACCCCCGTTTTGGGGGTCGAGGATAGGGCGAAATCTGAACATTCGTGGGTTTAAGTCAGTTTAAGTGTTCGTTTCCTCAAACCCAAGGGGTTCTCAGTTCTCTCCTTTGGAGGCAAATGCTCTCGGTCAGTTCACTGCCCCGTGTCGACCAGACAGAGCGCCGACATTTTCTGCCGGTGAATGGGAATGTTGGGAGGGTCGAGACTCTCGGACTACGCTCCCGAAAACCAACATTGGCCCTGTGGTTTTGGCACCCCGAAAGCCAGTTTTCCTCTACAACCCAGTGATTGTCAGGGTCCATGTCAGTTTTCAGCTTTCAAAAAGCATTCGCTGACTCCGTGCAGGAAGATGAACCTCCAATCATCTTCGAATCGTTTCGCTCATTCGTGGGTGGTGCCAACGTTGGTTTCCTGCGTCGGCGTTGAGAATGCTTGAGATAAAGCTTGCTTTTGATGGAAAAGAAAGGCGCTATAAAAGACATTTGGTTCAAATTCCTGAGGATCAGAAAACAGATTTGCCCTCATAAGATTCAATTCCCTCCAGGGGTGGTCTGTCTGGGACAAGACCGCCACAGGTTGCAGGTGATCATGGTGGGGGGTCAAGACCATCACCAAAGTCTTGGTGAACATGTCCATTCTGTGTATGGTGGTGGGTCAAGCCCCCACAGGGGTGAATCCGAGGCTGACGACGAGACTGACACCGCTTGGGGTCGTTGATCGATTTTAGAATTTGTAGGAGGGTGCTGGTGCTTGGCTGGCGCCGCACAACGTGCACGCGCGAAGCTTTTTTTGGCTGGGCTGGTTGGGACCTCCAGGTTGATCGTTGTTTGAAAAGGGATACTTGAAAGGTCGGATCTAGAGGCCTTAAGGAGTAGATGGAGTGATCTTGGCCCGGAATTCATGCCATTTTTAGGCGCCCTAATTCGGATAAGTGTGGCTGGTAGTGCTTTTGACTCCTGGAACCTTTCTAGCCTTCAAGTGACCTAGATTGTATCACTTTGATGTTTCTTTTTTGT